AAAAAATTACAAAAAAATGAAATGAAAATATTTTGCAACTGTTATAAAAGCCGTGTTATTAAGCCCATTTCATTGCATTGCAATGAGACCACTTCTGCTATTAAAGTGCAAGTCAGCTCTTTGTGGCAAAGAGCAGAAAAGTCATTGATAGAAAAACAGTTATTAACCCTGTAATACACAGTTAGGACCCAAGAGCAGAATAGTAAAGACTGGAGAATAGTGAACAAATATCCAATGTCTAAAAATGACCCTGTGCCCCATCTTTTCCCAATCCACTACTCTGCTTTACCAGCTGTTCTAGTTTTATTATCTTGGAGTGACCCTTTGCTGAGATGAATGAATTGCTACAGAAAAACAGAATCTGGCAGGGTTCTCTGGAGCTGGGACCTCTGGAGGTGTCGTCCAACCCTCGCTCAACGTAGGTCTAACTAAATTGGGTTGCTCTGGGCCCTGCACAGTCAAGGCTTGACTATGTCCCAGGACAGAGATCCCACAGTTTCTCTGGGCCCCTGTTCCAGTGTTTGATCACCCTCATAGGGAACACATTTTTCTTAAGATTCAACTAGCACTTCTCATCTTTCATCGTGCACCTGCTGCCCCTTCTCCTTCCCCTGCAACACCTCGGAGAGGAGCCTGGCTCTGTCTACAGCTCTGCTATAACCTTCCCATGGGGTAGCTGCAGGCATTTCTCCCCTCACTTTTCCCCTCCCCAGCCTGGAGGGGGACCCAGCTCCCTCAAATGCTCCTCCTACGCTCCATGCTTCAGCCTCCAACCAACCTAGCGGCCTCTGCTGGATCTCAAGGTCTTGCTTGTTCCTCAACCTGCTGGCTATGCTAACGTGGCCCAGGCTGCGGCTGCAAGGACACGCTGCTGGTCCATGGCCAACCAGTTCTCCACCAGCAGCCCCCAGGTCCTGCCCTGCAAAACCGCTCTGAAGCCAGACAGCTCCTGCCTCTCCCCTTGCAAGGGGTTGCTCCTTCCAAGAGACAGAACTTGGCATTTGCCTTTGTTGGGCTTTGTGAGGTTCCTGCTGCACTGTTTCTTGGGTCTGAAGTTGTCTGGTCTCCTCTCTGGATAGCTCCTATTCTCGTTCACGTGGGAGGTACTGAAACTACTGACACGTTTTAATACAAAATCCCAGATTATGACAATAGGGAATGCTTTCAAATAGTTAAGAGATATATACTCAAATACAATAGTTTATGCTTCATGCAGTGAGATTCACAGAATTTTAGTATTTCTTGTAAAGGTAAGTTTAAGGTAAAATTAGAAGCTGAACGAGAAGGGGAATACACAATATTCTCACAGAGGTGGACAGAAGCAGAGACTTAAGGTGAAAGAGAAGGATAATCCTTAATTATAGGGAAATTTAAGCACCAATTAGAACGGTAAATTTATCTATGCTAAAAACCATCCATCTCCTATCCCCACCCACCACCAAAAAAAAAGATCTGGCTGTATACTTACTTAACAACCACTTCTGTATCTATTTCTTCTATCTGCGATACCGTATTAACCACACACTGTCAAATTTAAAGGGAAAAAAAACAAAACAAAAAAAGATCTTAGCTTCTTTCTAACCGCTGCTGAGTTTTGCAACATACACAATAATCCTCACATTAAATAAGGAAAAGAAAAATAATAAAAGAAAGACATATTTGTATCATTCAACAACTTGTTTCTCTAAAAAGAAACAAACAAATAAACCAAAAGAAACCCCCCCAAACCACCCCTCCAAACATCTATTTGCAAAATACAGAAGAACAAAACATTCCCAACTGTGTACTAAGCTCTGGAGGGCACACTGGCTCCATCTCAAAGGGACCTGCTTTTCTGAGCACGGACACTAAGCACGGTTTCAAAAATGTCTCTCAGGTCGGGTACTTCAGAATAGAAGCCATATTCTCCCCTTTTCCAAAGTGACCGAGTTTGGAAAATGACAGCTGACTTCCTTTTCAGCTTTAAATACAGGACTTGGGAACTAACCTATGCTGGAAAGAACAGCCCCAGGGAAACGTGGAAGCACACACCTACAGTCCTGTGCTTTCAACTGTTAAGGCAGACCCAGTCTCAACTGCTCTCCTAGGAGACACGGTATTTGCTGCCTGTCTGTCCTCCTCTTCACCTTCAGGGCACTGCCTGCCTCTGTCGCTAGATTTCTCCACACCTTTATCGCTACGCTGTGGCCATTCTATGATTCTGCAAAGGACACTTGCTCTTCAACTGGTACACACAAACTAGCCAGTTTCTTCAGGTCTCCAGAACAATCAATTTTCATTCCAAACACATTTGTTGTTTTACAGCTATTTCACTGATCTCTTTTTGTGTTACTTGTAAGCCCAAGGTACAAATCAACTCCATTCACGCTGAATTAGGGTTTTTTTCCCAAATGCCAATCAATAACCTGATCAAATGAGTCAGTAGCATATGAACTCATATTGCCTTTAAGTGAATGTGTACAACCCAAACGGTAACTGAGGGCCTACATGGATTTTGAATAATGGTGGTCAGCACAGAAGCTTCTTAAAAAACACATCTTGTTCCTGGAACTATGCCTTGTGTTCAGTGCTTACAAACTTCTGCTCTCTCCCCTGCCTGGCAATAAAGAGCTACTAAAGTAGTAAGCAAAACAGCCCAGCCATGCATTTGAACAGGAAGCACATTTGAGACGTGGGAAGGAAACAGCTTCCTTTAACAACGAAAAATATCCCTAAGAGTTGAGACAACAGGCCACAACGCAAACACGTTGCACAAAACACACAGGAATACTCTGATCCTGTCTATTTTCCCTATTCAATAGAAACTTACACTGGAAGCTGATTAAACTTCAACTATTACTGAGCAGAGGTGACACCTGAATGATCCAACATAAAGACAAATATGACCAGCAGAATGGGAAAAGCACTTTATGACCGAGAATGAGCGGGAAAACGAGGAGCACTACCTGCTTATTACGTGACAAAACACATAATTTACAATGAAAAAAGAAAAAGTCTCCTTATGACCGCTGACACAGGCAAGTGAAAAGCCAATGGAGACTGACAAGCAGATGAACAGTTTTATCCTGGTGTTATTCATTCATGCATCACTCTTTTTTTGGTGTTTAGCCTTCTGTGAAGGCCCAGAGCAGCTGCACACATCTGTATGCCTTTGTTTTTCCAGGCTTACAGTAATACAGCATGTCTAGAAAGTAGCGTTCACTCACACCCTCTGCTGATCTTTCAGGGAGCAGGGCGACGACCCAGTCCAGCATCCCACTGCTTTCAGGCAGGGAGAGAATAAGCAGCTAGGGAAAGGAGTGCTTAACCCAGTTTAAAGTGTATCAGGTGAAAGAGGACTCACATCATCACCAAGCCCTTACAAGAAGTGATGCAGTCACATACATCACTCACTGTCTGCTAATTCTGCCACAGTATTTACTAGTAACATCGGCCTGTGCTATCTATACCCAACCTGCACAACCAGATCAACAGCACCATGGGGCTGCAATGTGAAGTGGATTGGGATGGCCAATCTGGCTTAAAACAAAAAACTTACAATAACAATAATAATTAAAAAAGAAAATCCAAATTTTTAAGACCTGGTTCATAACACAGCTGCGAACAGCACACTACGCTACGAGGACAGGAGACACTGTCTTCATCTGATGACAAACTCCCCACCTGACTATCTCTCAGCCTTTGGGATACAAATCAGAGGTAGCTCCTAACACATCAGAACACAACTCTTGAAACAACCACGTATCTTCAGGGGATAAAAACACCTCTTACACAATATTCTCATGTACGCATGCAAGCAAACGAGTAAAATTAAAAGTAGCAAACACACGCTGAAAGTTAAGTCTAAGTTTTTGTTTGCAAACAAAAGTCATCATATCACTGTCCAAATCAGCCCATGCTTTCTTCCCCAAAGCAGTCATCTGAACTTTGCCCATTTTTTGGTTTCAGCTGGTGTTATCTACAAAGATTTTTGGTTTGAAAAGACAGATACAGTACACTAAATGGCAAAACAACCACACCGATGTGGACAAGGATTCTTTCTTTCTTCATTACTTCACCTTGCTCTCGCAGAAAAAGGTAAGGATGTTCTCCAACCTTTTATCACATGCCTATGCTAGGTCTGTGCTAACATTCAGGCAAGCAATGTTTTCTGTAGCATTTGTTGGGAATTCAATTGTTTCAACTGGCAAGTTTTTTGATTCTCTTTTATGTATTTACACCAAGAACTTGGGGGGGTTGTTTTTCAGAAGTGGGGGGCACTTTTTGGTGTGGTTTTGGTTTTTGGTTGTTGGGTTGGTTTTTTTTGTTTTTTTGTTTTTTTCTTTTAAATCTTGTGTTATGACATAACTATAATATTTGGGAAAGCCATGTGTTAAGAGAAAGAAAGAAACCAAGCTAAAATCAGTGGATTCAGAACAATGGTAATTATACAAAGCTGTGATCTGCTGTAGTTATGCTATCTGCTCCTTCCAGAAGGTCTTTTCTGCAAACAGACCTCTGTGCTTCAGGAAGCCCTTAGTGTCTGCAAGCTCAGCTGCTCTAAATTAGACCATCAGCCACCCAAAAATGTCATCAGAGCTGTTCTTAACTACTTACAAATTATGTTTTAAGGGGTTGAGGCAAGCTTGTCAGATATTTCAGAAGTGTGTAGCTTACCTGTTTAATTATGTTCTTTGCAGTAATAATCATTTCATCTCCATATATTTCATAAAAATTTAGCTTTCTTTGTTTTAAAAGTCCAAATACTAGCGATACAAGCCTCTCCTATCAAGAAAAAAAAAAATAAAAACCCACACTAAAAATATCAAGATGAGGACAAGAAACAATTAAGAAATTGCACAGCAGTAAGGAAGTTCATGTATCAAACACATGGTGAATAGTATTCAGATCAGTCCAGTGCCTTGAGACTAAGGCCATGCTTTACACAAAGTTACCTGTGGCAATACCAGCTGAGTCCCTTCCTCCCAGCCTCTTTCATGCCTGTTCCTCAGTTGTGCTCATCTACTTGTGCTTACAAACACGGACATTTCTAAAGATTAGCGAGTTTCCTTACTCCGAGCAAAAATGACACTAAATACAATTGCACAAGTGAGAGGCTATCACACTGCAGCACAGAGGTGGGCAGAAACTATAGGGCAGAAATGGGAATATTTAAATGCCATTGCCATTCACTGTATTTCATGAAACCCACAGATGAAACAAGGCTAAAAAATTAATAGAGTCTAGCAATTATTGAAGAATAGTACAAGGAAAAGAATGGGAATATTTAAATGCCATTGCCATTCACCGTATTTCATGAAACCCACAGATGAAACGGCTAAAAAATTAATAGGGTCTAGCAATTATTGAAGAATAGTACAAGCAAAAACCAAAATAATCTTTTCCTGGCTAGAAAGCAATCACAATAGCTTAATCTTCAGATGTTTATGATCTTCAGAGGAATAAGGAATATATATAGGAAAATATATATATATACATATATATATATATACACACACACACACACTGCAAATGAAGCATGTATTCAGGGCAACCATATGCTTGATAGAAGCACCGATAAATGCATAGGGAGACAGAAAAACATGCAACTATCAGCCTTCATTGCAAAACTGAAATTTTATGGTCAAGTAGATGTGAGAGTCCGTGTTCTTTTCCACTTACACGCTGAGGTTCACAAAGTGAACTCAGTACACATTTAATCAGAGATTTTCTCTGATTATTTTGAAAAAATAAAGTAGGACTGGATTGTAGTTCCATGAGTTTAGTCACAATTATTTAATTTCACCAAGCATAAAAAAAAACCCCAGGGGGCGAGGGGAGGTTTGGATGAGAAGAGAAATAGTATAAAATTGTAATGTTGCTACTAGGGACCGGAGTGAATTAATTAGTGCTAATTAAGTACGTTAAAGATGCAAACATATTCATCAGACAGTTTATTTCAATAACAGACATACCTCTTCTAGAATCTGGCAATCATCTTCTAGCGGTCTATTTAAATCATTGCGAGCATAAGTTGAAAACTCTGCAATCATCATTTTATCTATCAGCTTTTCCAGTTCACAAAGCTGTGAGCCAAGATGCCTAAGAAAAACAGCCATTGAGATATGAGCTAAATAATCAACCTGAAAATGAATCATTAGTTTACAGTTGAAGAAAATAACCACCCAGCAGGTAATCTCCATGCAATCAATGCTGGCTTAATAGGGGTCTCTCATCTTTCACTTCTTAGAGCAGCTGAAACCATGCATTTTTTCAGAGGCACTGTCATCTTGCAGCAAAACATATGGACTTGAATATTGATGGAGGGTAAAAATTGGAATTATGTCGCCTTTTTTTTTTTTCTGGAAGGTGCCGAGTACCTCTCTTCCCCACGAAGTGAACCAGAACTGAGAATACTCAGTGCTTCTTGGTATAAAGGTGTTAAAAAGGACTACTTCTTTGGCTCGTTCAGTTCCTCAGCTCATCAGTCCACAAGTTCTTTCACTGCAAGCATTAGAGCTTTTAATGTGGTCACAGACTGAATTCACAGGACTGAGATACAGTAACAGCTTTACATGACAGGATGGCTTTCAGAGAACACAAACGAATTTTCAAATTTGCCATTTTTATGCTATCTAAATTTTAAAATATTTTTTCCTTGTGTTGCAGATTTTAAACGACATTTTGCAGACTGTTGTCATACAGAACCACAAGGGAATTTCTCACATCAGGAACGTCGACCGGTATTTAAAAGTTGTGCAGCTAGAGAAACTTTTAGCGGAGTAAAACTAAAAGTGGGAATTTCAGAGATGCCAAACACTCCAGGCTTTCCAACTTCCACCAACAGCTGGGAGCATCAAACGTCTGTAAAAAAAATCAGACTGCTTTTTCTTTAAAAAAATATAAAAATAAAAAGAGACACTTCACCAATGAGAATTAACAGGAGCTGTGATATTTTAGATAAACCTGGAAAGAAAACAGGGAGGATGAACATGCACGGCTCACTGGCTTTAATTCAGCGCTGGTGTAGCCGGACAGTTAGCTTGCGTAGAGCAGCAAAAATGTGTTAGGACTCCCTGTCAGGAGCACTGCTGCACCAGTGCAAAGGCCACAGCCTTGCAGCCCATGTAGCGCCAAGGTGCAAGGAAGCACAACACTGGGGTAGCTCCTCCCTGCAGAAGCCCACACAGTCAGCACTGAGCTCAACTGAAGGAATTTTGCTAGATCTGAGTTAAGCAGTTTCACTTATTTTTTTTACTTTAATTTTTTTTTCATTTTAAGATGACCAGGGATGTGCCTGCTTTTGAAATTGTTGGTCAAGAATTGGCTGGAATGGACAAAGTGGGACACATTTCAAACATCTAATTTAAGTAAAAAAGGCCTCTAGAAAATCCAAGCCAGTTGCACCATGGATATTTCAAAACAAACCCAACAAAAAACCCCTGAAGATTTATATTTGCAATGTTACAATTATAGTTGTAAAACTTACTGCAGGACTAACACCCAAAACACAAAGGCTCGCAGGTAAGCACAAAGATGCTCTTGAGTAAATTATTTCTGTAACTGTGCTTAACTACACCGACACACGACGGTACCTACCCTCTCAGGTATGGAAATATGCAACAAGAGTTTCCAGCACTTGCTGCCACCACTTCGACCGAGATGTTCTAGCCTCTAACAACAACAAAAAAATCCCTCCACCCTGAAATACGGAGGAACAAGTCAAACCTTAATTCATACTCCAGTGAAACACCTTGGAAATTATGTCTCAAGAGGTACCAGTCACACACCAGGTCCCTTCAATGACTGAATACTACAATTATTCGATATAAAATTGTGAGTGCAGGGTAAAAATTATTTTAAAAATACACAGATGAGAAGTAATTTTCCAAGTATCTGTGTTCTACTGCACAAAAAAAAGTATAGAAGTGTGGTTTGCCAGCATACCTGTGTGAAAAAAAAAAAATCACTGTACCTCCATCACCCCAACAAGGAACGTGAAAACAATGTAAAAACTGGCAGTACACATTTGTACTTTCATTAACACGTTAAGTAATTTTTTTTAATTAAAAAGATGAACTTGAAAAGGTTAAAGAGCTCTAAAACTTTAATTCGATCCTATAGCAGTAGCAAGCAGTAACCATACTGTTACAACTGGTATATAATCACCGGGAATATTAACATAGATTAAAGACACCAACTTTAGTACACCATTAAGGTGCTTTCATTCTTTGCTGCAACTAGAATCAAATTACATTTTTTTTTGCGTGTAGCATGACAAGAAAAGAAAAAATGTTGTATATGGATGATCCGAGTAGCTTTCTTACTGCTTTATATTGAATTATTCTGTGACATGACTCAATTTAAAGCTGTCTGTCCAAATTCTACAAGTTGTCAGGCACGACATGAAAGCGACAAGTTGCTGGTTTGTTTTTTGTTTTGGTTTGGTTTTAATAATATACAAATTATTTAGGGGAAAACAGAGATACTAATTATGTAAAAAAATAAGGTACTGATTTATACGTTATTCTCATAAACCAGGCATTTAACTCACTTGACAATTGCGGCACTCTTGCTCAGAGCAAAACAAGTGTTTCTTGAAAAAAGCTGAAGTATTTGTGTATGATACCAATTTAGCTTTTTATTTTACTTATTTTTAGAAACACAACATTCTACTGAGAAGTTTTATCAATATCTCCATCCTTCCATTGCACGTTATTTCTTCAGACTTGCTCACAAGCCACTGTGAGACGTGGGAACAACTGTGCTGGGCTTCTCAACCGCACTTGCATCTCTGGTGGGGGTGATGACTTAGGTTGCATCTAAATCACTTTTCTGAACCTTTAATATTCAAAGCAGAGGGGACCTTTCCCACTCACATCACTATTTTTAACTCTACCAAAGCAATCAACTACGCATTATCCATAGAAATTACTTTTTACAGACAAGATGAATATTTACTTGCAAATACGTTCCACATCTGAGTGTAATTTTAAAATAATAGCACATTCATGGGACACAACGTGTACCAACCACACTGACAAGAGAATTGCACTCTGCTGACGTAGCACATAGGTTACTTGATTGCAAAACACAACTAATTCTGAATGATGCTGTCACAGGGTTGCAAAAATACACTCGCTATCACCAAGGTAAATACAAACATGACTCAGCCAAGGCCTGTGCACCATAATCAAGTGGTTAAGAACAGGAACAGCAAAGAGGAAAGAAACTGTGATGAGGTGCTTGATGATGGATCACCTAAGCCAAAAGAAAAAGACTAACAGCTTCTAACAACTCTCTTAAGTTGTTTGTTTGTTTTTTTTTTAAAAAAGACTTTTTCTGAGATCTTTTCTGCATAAAATTTGCTAGAAGGGTTGTTGGGAGAGGAGCTCATCAGAACAGATGGACAAGAGTAGCAACCATATAAACTTCTGAACATTCCTGTTACAGTTACTGAGCAACAACCAGGCTTTTATTAAGCAAACTGGGAACAACCAGGTTGCAGGAATCACATAATCTCTAAACAAAACAACCCTCCCCGCAACACCAGCTTATAAAACTACGTATCCAGCTCCTCAACTGGCTGATGCAAGTCTTAGAGCTGATTTAGCATATGCTGCTTCTGCCAGCATCATACTACAGTGGCAGCTTTTAAACTGCCACTTTTAAACTGTTACAATAGCTCATTTTACACTAGCTAAAAGGATTCTACTGTATTAATACTCCTGCATATCACAGAGGACCTTGTACAGTGCAGTGGCATCTCCCAAGTGGACCTCTAAGCATCCACTGTTAATAGAAGCAGCCAGCACAGGACCTTGAACTCACCAATTCCCATCACTGTAGCAAACACAGGTGAAAAAACAGCAGCAACAGCAGCTTGGGCAACACCTTCCCACTGTTTCTTCCCTTCCCAACTTCAGTAGCTCACAGAACTGGATTTCTCAGTCAGATGGAGCAAGAGGAAGCACCCCCCAGCCACTGTAAGTACAGCTCTCCACAAGAGCAGCCGCGGCTGAACACATCCCATCTGACTTGCTGTCAAACCTCAGACCACATTTTGAGCCACAGTTTGATAGCTTTGCACTGGCTTTTGCTTGCAAAGCTTCTTCCAGTACAAGTATAGGCTGGAGGCTGACTTATTTGACACACAATCTGTGTATATTTCTGTAACATCACAAGCCCAGGTTAGTCACTAAAGACACGGGCCCAGATTGGAGCTGTGCAGCAAGACCTGTATCTCTGGGGTGCTGCATGCATGAGGATTGCAGATCACCACTTGGAAACCATCTCTCAGCTGCAGGCTACGAGCCCTGCAAGATGAAGGTCCAGCCACTGCTTGGTTCTCATCCCTGCACTCCTAACACACCTGTAAACAAGAATGCAGTACAGAGCATCTAGATGTTAAAAGCTCAACCCCCCTAAAAAAACCTCTCTGGCACATGTGTTAGTCACATTGCTTATGCCATGCTTATATTTCATACCTTTTGTTCTATGTTCTCTAAGAATGAGCAAACAAAGGTAAAACAAACGCCTTCAGCCAACATAATGTGCTCAACACATTCTAGCTCTACTTGCATTTTACTGATTTCCTAGATGGTTACCTACCGGAAACTGTGAATGCCTTGAAGCTCTTGCTGTAACACCTCCTGTGTTGTTGCTATTAAGTCCAAAGCGCCAACAAACTCAGAAGTGGATAGCAGCAACTGTACTGTGGGCTGTGTTTGGTGTACAGTAGCCATTAACTTCAGTTTATTGTATGCTTTTATACAGTTATTTCTGGTGAGTGACAGTCTTAAAACTCTAAGTGATCCTTCACACATTACTTTATCAATTTTGGAGATTTTCTCTCTAAGTAATTTTACAGCCTGGGAGGTTTTCCTGAGGTAGTCCTGCAACTCATGCTGAGAGGTCATTGCGTGAAAAAATGCTTCCGAGCGCAGAGAAATCTGATGAGCAATATTAACTTCCACAATGTCCAGATAATGGCTCAGCTAGAAAGAAGAGGGAGGAGGAAAAATGAACAGTGTTGTTATGACTTGGTAAGGTTATCACCATGCAAATACACTTTCAGGATATTTGTCTTAGTGTACCACTAATAAAATAGCGGCAATTGCTAATAAAAATCAAAACCCTTTGTCAGATTAGCAAACAAATAACTACCCATTGTGGTTTGACCATTGTTTTTAAATGAGCTCAAAATCACTTTGCAAAGGCTGACTGGATGCCTCTCCTGCTTGAAAATTACAAAGTAGAAAAGCAGGTAATTTTAAAACACCCAAGCTTTTGTACCACTAGAACTGTTAGAATATGACCATTAACCAGAAGACAGCTCTGGACACTGGCTTGCAAGTAAGAACAGTATACACACACAAACAGGCTATGTACTTCAGGTCACTGAAACTGCTAAAGATGCAGCCCGACTATGCTTGATGACACGGCTTTGGAATGGCTCTGTTCATTCAAAAGCCTGTAGCACCTTCTTTGTAGAAAAATCCTCAGGATATCTCTGGCTGCAGTTGTTTTTTGCCAACCAGCTGGAGTTCCCCTTAAGCGTATTTCATGTGCAGCACAGTGGGATTCCCAGAGACAGAGCATGCCAACATGTTTAGAACCTGAAATTCAAATTCTCCACGTCAAACAGTTACCAGACCGCTGGGTTGGCCTGATTATTTGAGCTGTAAAAGCTCTGTGTTCTGGCTTATGCTGAATATGCAGACTCAAAGGACTGAGGCATTAGGATGCTCATCTGAATGCTAATACTCAGATGACCTGGTTTCTAAGAGGTGCCAAGCACTCAAACCTCATGCTGAATTTCAAAAGGCCCATCCAGAGATGGAAAGAAAATCAGCTGGAGAACGTTTCCTTCTTATAGTTATTTTCATCCTGCGTGTATTTAACACTGGGGATTCATACAACATGCAAACCCATCTTTTTTTGTAATACATTTAATCAAAAACTTCCTCCACCAACTAGCTGTGACACACCTAGCCCACAGGAAAAGCTGAGGCAGACTGTGACACAGGGATCAAAGAAAGGTTGATGACGATCATTTATTTATGTGATTGTACCAACCAGATGCCCCAGGTCCCTTCACTATGCTAAGCCAGGTAGAACAAATAGAACAAAATGATAGTACCTGCCTCAAAGACCTTACAGTCCCAGTGCAGGGCAAGACATGGAAGGAGGTAAGGAAGAGAAAAACATCAGGAGGAAACTGTTCAAGTAGATCAGCAGCAGTCCAAAAGCACTAACAGCCTAAGTACGTGTGCTTAAGGCAGGGTTTTCAAAATCCTGTTGAAAAATGGTGCCTGGAGCTAGAGATAATTATGGCAGCAGGGTGCCTATTTACACATGATAAGTGCAAATCTTGCCCAGTTCAGAGCCTTTAAAAAGTGAAACAAAAAAATATGGGCCCATTTCCATAATATGAAGCAGTGTAATAATTTGTTTGCCAGGCATGTGGCTTCGGAGGCAAGAGAACTGGTTTGTACTATTCAGGTATTTGTATCACCTCTCTAAAGAAGCGCGGCTCACGGCTATTCAAAGCCTTATTTTCACTCCACTGCATCAGAGAGGGCTCTGGGTCTCCTTTACTCAAAGTCCATGTTGAGTGTCCACCCTGTCAAGCACACTTTGTGAGTTGAAAGCATATGCCAGACACTGCTTTTTCGTCTTCAGACAGCAACTGCCACAGCATCCTCCAAAGAAGTATTCCTCCAACTTTAGGTGTGGAGAACAACCCAATGAAGGATCAAGTTAGCCTCCAGCAGAGCCTGTCTTTTCCTCCTGACCTAGCAGGAGAGCAGGAAGACTAACTCCTGGAAATTTGGAAACACCTTCCAGAGAATCTCATGTTATTTTTTCTTAAGGCCCCTCACTTTTTTTTTTTTTTTTTTTTACTTCCCTCACCCCAGCTCCCAGAAGCTTTAGCAGGTTAAAGAAGAGGGAAAATTAAAGACAGAAAACAGACTCCAAAATTATGTAGATTTTTCTCTAAGCATTTTATGGGTATTTGTACCATAAAAACTATTCATTATGGGATTTTCTAGAGTATGACCACATAACCAAAAAAAAAAAAAGCAAAACCAACACAAAAAAAAGGACAAATAAAGACTTCTGTTTCCAGTACGAAAGAAACAGCTCTGCTTTCCTGCTCTCCAACGCACTCCAAGTCCCTTGTGAAACGCAAAAATGGATCAGTGCAGACAACACGACAACAAAAGGTAAGAGGAAGCTCTTGACACACAAAAACCTTAGGATTTAATATTTCTTTTAGCACAGAAACCACAGTGCCTTAAATGTGGAGATTTCCTAAGATGTGAGAAGGCAATAGTCCTAAACTGCAGACAACCTCTCGCTTTCCTTTCTCATGGAATTGCTCTTCCTCCTAACAACCAGCTCCAGATCTCTGAGGTTCTCTAGATATATCTGCTTCACTAAGTCTTAGCAGTCATGAAGAGCCCAGTTATCATGCCATATACAGATTCGACAGACAGATAGATATATTTAGCAGGGAAAAAAAGTTCTTTCAGTACGATGCTTCCTGCATTCTTTACTAACAATCTGAAGCCTGATATAAAAATGAGAAATAAAACAGCCTCAAGAAACAGTATAGAACAGAACAGCAGCAACGGAGTTTTTTTGTAGTAACTGACAGCTGCAATGGATAATGACATCTCCTATCAAAGATGTACCTTTTCTTGAAGTAACTTGGAGGAAGCTGCATCACAATTTCCTTTTCCACCAGCAGTACTAAAATGAGACCATGGTAAAACCGCATTAAATGTTAAGGAATCTTCCAAGGCAAAATCTGGTTTCATAAAAATCTGAAACAGAAAAACAAAAAATAAATAAATGCGCCTCCCTCACCCCTACATTTTTCTTCCCAGTTAAACACCCCTCCAGTCTCATGAAGCCATCAGGGACTTTATCTGTTGATTTTCAAAAACCAAGTTTTCATTTACGAAGGCAAACAGATTCATTCCAGACATTACAATCAATGTACTTTAGACCTTAAAAGCTTGTGTGATCTGACAAAATCTTATCTTCCTAAAAGTGGAAGGCACAGCTCCAAAATGACGCAGATTTTCAAGCACCCAAGATGATCTAAACATCCCGAGCGTGAAAATGTAGGCAGCATTAAACTGCAGGTGGGTCCTCCAAAGGATCACGGCAAACACTCTTCAACAGCAGGGGTACCCTACTGCTGATTTGCTCATTTCTGGGGCTCTAGCTTCTACCAGACTGAGGATCCAGCCAGTTGTCAGGGTGCAGCAAGCATCGCCTGGGAGGGAACAGAGCCTCAAGCTGATCTCCCTTAACACAATGCAGCAAACGTGTCGGCCAGAGTCAGTAACACGTAAAATTAAACTACACATCTCAGAGAACTATTAATCTAAAATTCTCTCCGATAATATTATTTTTACTTGACAAAACTGCTACAAACCTTGAGCTTCCAGGCAGATAGTAGTATTCTTTTCACTGTATTTATGAAGTGTTATCTTAAAAGGTTCAACATAGACTATAGCATCACACCACACCCAAACATTCTTGTTTCCTGGACTTTAAACATTGAGGTGACAGCTATTCAAGTAACTGCCTGCACAACTGGCACAGAGATGCTGACCCATATTAACACTCTGACTTCTTAATGTACCTAGAAAAAAGTGGAATCTGGAGTTGTGTCTTCTGTCAATCTGTCACAAAAATCCCACATCATATATGCTGCAAGCACATATGCAAGAGGGCTTTGCTTAAGGATTCAAGGAGTTAAACCTAATGTTAAGTTGTACACTATGCAATATTCAAGCTTCAACCAAACTCTTCAGTTTCCCTTTCCTTCTAGGACACAGAGTGGGTAACTTTGCCCAGCTCTGAGGTTTTACTATTAAAGATGAAAAAAATAATAGCATTTGTATTGTACTTTAAGTAAGAGAAAAATCAAGACCACGGGAAACAACAACAACAAAAAAGAAAGCAGCAGCAAATTGTTCTTAGTATTTTTAAATTCTAAGCACTGCAGATCCTCTTGAGAATCAGCTCAAGTAGTCAGTTAGGACAAAATTTCTACAAAGAAGAGGGTACATTCATATATTCAAGACTACATGTGAGAAATCCTTTTAAAAGCTTCAGGTGCACAGGAACCATACCTTAGGTACTTGTTCCAGATCTGTCCTGGATTTATCTAAAATTAAACAAATACAAGTAGTCATTCATGAGCAAACAACGGAAACCGATCACCTTGAACACTATTAAAACCTCTGAGGAAGTTTTCAAGACAACGATGCCAGGTTCCTCACAGGGTGCGGACAGGGAGCAGTGGTTATGAATGGAAATGAAATGTTCTGACTGAGCACAAGGAAAACCTTTTTCACCACGAGGACAATCAAGCACTGGAGCAGGCTGCCCAGAGAGCCTATGTACTCTCCATCCTTGGAGGTTTTCAAGGCCTGACTGGATAAAGCCCTGAACAGCTTGGCCTGACCTCACAGCTGAACTGGCTTTGAGATGGCAGTTGCAGCAAAGACCTTCTGAAGTCCCTTCCAACCTGAAATATCCTGATTCATTGAAACACTCTTGCCCTTCGTAGTTTAGGTCTCATGCTCAAAGTATTCAAAGGCACTCACACTTGGCCACTTTGCAGCAAAAACGCTAGTCCTGCAGATTCATATACTTAGTACTTCACATTCCTTAATGCACTGTTGAATCAACTGACAAGGGACAGTTAAAGGTCCCTCTAATATCACCCCAATTTTAATGCTCCAGATTGAAGCTGCCCATATAATCACTTCTGCCCATCACTTGGAGGATGGATGCAGAAAGGCTGGCAAGAAGGATGAGCAAGGGCTCAGGTTATAGTCCCACACACACTGAGCAAGCAGCACAGAAGCAGCCCTTCCCTCGAAGTAAACTGACCTGACAATTGCAGAGGGTGAGAGTTGAGTTGGGAAAAGAGGTGCATCATATCACCGCAGCACAACTTGAAGGAAAGGCAAATTCACACTTTCGAGGCTCAGCCAAAATCCCCTTTTCCTCTCCTACTCATTAACTTAGTATGCATTATGAGGAGGGAACACATTGGAGGCCAAGAAAGGTGAGGAATGCACAAGCAACAAGTCCGTGCCTCAGCTGGACGGTCTGCTTGTCCCTGACAAACACGGTAAGCGCTACATCAGCATCATCTCCCACACTTCTCTCACCTCTTTGGTTCTTGATTTGTTTCTTACTTTATTTGCATTGAAATACAAAAGGCAACCTAGAAATCATCCTGCTGTCCTCAGTCTTTGAGGACAACTCTTATGGAAGTGAAAGGCCAAGTCTTATGGGTTGGAGTTAGAGGAAGACAGGCAATGCTAACAAGAGAAAATATCGAAAATAAAGAGCTTCAGTTTACCAAATGCTGCTTCTACTAGGAACTGCCCATCTTGCCAAGAAGCTCCCAGTTACTTTTGTGACACAGTAATTTTCTCTTTTAGACTCAATTGGATTAAGCTAAGCTTGAAGAAGGATCTTTTATTTTGCAGTATGCATCACAGACAGACTCATTCAGGAACAGTTATTCCAAAATAACACCAATCACGGAAAAACCCTACAGCAGTGCATCCTTTTGCATGGAAAAGGAGGAAGGTGGCCAATTGAATGAACTTGATCAAAAAGAGTAAACTACTGAATGCTTCTTGTTGCATTACCTGTAGACATTGATATAGACAAGCCTGGCCAAACACTGATTGGCAAATGAACACTTTTATGCTAACATTTTTGAGAAAATAAATTAAAATAAATGAAATATTAAAAGCATGTTCCAGGTTATGAGTCTTTATGTTCTTTTTGCTTGTCCTCTTCATTTTGCCTCTCGCCTTCCTTTGTTCAGTTTCATATTAGCTGAACTTTTTCCATAAAATCTTGACATTCAGCCTAGCTACAGGTGTGGACACCAAATAAAAAAAGTTTGCCAGGTAATCTTTGCTAACAGTAATCAGAGAAATACTAAGCAGAGAACTGCCCAGAGTGGAACTTCATTAAATTCAACACAGAAAAATGCAAAGTCCTGCATCTGGAGAGGAATAACCCCAGGCACCACTACACACTAGGGGTCTAGTAGCTAGAAAGCACCCCTGCAGAGAGCGACCTGGGGTCCTGGCAGATAATGAATTGACCATGAGCCAGCAGGTCTCTCCTGTGACAAAGAATCCTGGGTAGCATTAGGCAAAGCACTGCCAGCAGGTCGAAGGAAGATGATCCTCCCTCTCCACTCAGCGCTGGCAAGGTATCTGGAGCAGCGTGCCCCATTCTGAGCTCCCCAATACATGACAGATGTAGATATACTGGAGCGAGTCCAGTGAAGGGCTACAAAGATGACTAAGAGACCAGAGCATTTTTCATAGAATGAGAGGCTGAGAGAGCTGAGACTGCTTAGCCTGGAAAAGCTCAAGGGGGATCTTAGCGATGTTTTTAAATACCAGATCAGAGGGCGTAAAGAAACAGACACACTCTTCTCAGCGGTGCCCAGTGACAGCACAAGAGGCAATGAGCAGAAACTGATAGCTGAAAAATTCCATCTGAACATAAGGAAACATTTTTATCATAAGGGTAGTCAAACACTGAAACAGGTTGCCCAGACAGGCTCTGTAATCTTCATCCATAGCTAAATTCAAAACTCAGCTGGACACTGTCCTGCCATAGGTGACCCTGCTTGAGCAGGTGATTTGGACATGACTATCTTGAGATGTCATTTCCCACCTCAGCCATTCTGTGATCCTCATGGCAGAGAGACAGGAATGGCCCAGCACTGCCATTCTTCATTGCAAAGTCAACAGCTGCCAGAAATTCAATGAACAGTTTCAACTGAACTTAAAAAGAAGTTAAAGAAAACGCTGTCAGGGACATAATGACCTGCCATGAATGCAAACACGCCAAGGAAAAGTTTTAAGAGCAGGTATCACAAGCATTTTGACGTGTAAAATATCAGCAGTGGTCATGAATACTTCGAGCCAACCATGTTTGGGTTTTTAACTACTGTTACAAAGAAATCATCATCAGCTATTATTGCACATGAAGCCCTCGAGCAAGTAAAGGAGATGATCAGTATGTGACAGCATTCATTATTGAATGTTATAACATACTGATACAAAAAGAAATTACTTTTTAACAACTAAAGGAAGGCTTTGGCTATACCGTGGGTGTGTAACAGAGTCCTGTCGAAGGTATCTTTAGGAGTACAAATATTCTTGCACCTTTCATGAACCTTCTCTCTCTGTAAAAGAGAAAATAGATTAAAGAATTATTCTGAGGCTTAAAAAAAGAATTTTTTTTCTTTGAAAGATAACATTCAGAACATTTTCAGTGAAATATAACTGCATTAGACCGAATAATTCTGACAAGTTCACAATAGTATTCTTTTCCTCTTAAAATCTCTGATGATATTTGTCCAGGTGAAAGGTACCAAAAATTTCAACTTGTAGTCTATGGTTTTTTTCTGTATCCTTACATCTCCAGAGAAAATGAACACAAAAGCTATTGAAGAGTTGTAGTAACATCTCTACATAACGAGATATAACCATAGATCAATTGTAACTACATATCCAAACACTTATTTGCTGTGTAATCCAGAAATCACACTAACACACAACGAATGCTTTTTCTTTACTAAATCAAATCAGATCAAAGCAGGAATTGCTTTCACATTCTGCTCATGAGCACCTTGCTGAAACCACATATCTTGTTTCATCATGCTGAGATTCAATTTCTATCTACAGGTGTAAACAACAGCAGAGACCATAGTGGTGAGTGGTTTGTAAAGAACATTGTTGTTGGCTAGATTCCTGCTAGAAGCCACATCACAGGTCAGTTCGCTCTTCCCAGATTCTTCTTTTATTTAGCAGTCGCTGCATTACACACTAATTTTAACAGATGAGCTCTTAAACGTTTTAAATATTGAACGTGTGAACTAATGGCAATAGTTCAGCTACAGACAACACACTTTTGTATACTTTAACTATGATTTAAACAAGTAGCACTTGCTGCAGCCAATTCTGTACTAGCAAAAAAATAAGAAAGCTACAAACCAAGGAAGCAGAAAACAGCGGGAGACTTCTACAGGTTCCCTCAGTCAAAAAAAAAAAAAAAAAAAAAAAAAAAAAAGAATACTACATACTTACTGACACCTGTATTTTAAGAGTTTGTAGAAGTCTCCTACTGGTCCTGGTGTCCTTAGATGTAGCTTAAACTTTCCTGTTACAAAAGAAATCATTGAGACAATAGGCCTATTTACAGTTTAAGAACTTCATGTAGAAATGTTTAAATTAGAGACGCTTAAAACATATCTCCAGTCCTTGGAGCACACAATCATGTTTTATATTTGATTCAAAGGTCTGAATATGCTATGTTGCACTGTAGAGCCCAATCATTAAACAATCCTTACAGGAAAAGGATTAATAATCAGAAAGAATAAATATGAACTATAAACCCTGGTGCAGAGCTCAGTATTCAGAATATACAAATAAAAAAAAAATATGAAATTGCCTAGATAGAATTTAGACAGCATTTTCCACAGTATGAATACTGAGACTATAAAACAAGGAATGTCAACAAGCACTGAAGAGCAAATTAATTATCACCTAACTGTATGATGGACTACCAGCAGGGACAATCTCCAATTACAAGGATCTCAAATCTCTTTCTTGGCCCCTAGTACTATGCGCATCTAATTTGGGGTTCTTACCGGAGTGATTTCCTGTTGGTATAATGCAAAATGTTCCTTGGTGATCTGTGGGAGGTAGAATGAAGGCGTGACTTCAGTGTCCACAAAGTCCACTCCCCATGTTTTTGTAAAGAAATCAGATTCCCTTTTTGCTAACCTAGGATCATTTAGTGCTGCTGGGAGATTGACTTTGGAATGATAAATAGTCCATCTGTGCTGATCCACAACTAGAGATGGGCTGTCATGTAAATTATTGGGATCACCTGCAGACAAAAGACAAGACAGTTTGTTAAGGTGAGAAACTGAAGTTGTATTTTTGCTAAAATGTGGTTCTTCAGCAAACCATGTTTCCACAATTACATAGTGGATCAGAATGATCTACGTAAAAGACACACGATACTCTCCTTCCGCAATCCTTTGACTTGCATTTCTTCTATCAGATTAACCAACACAAGTTTTGAACACAGTGGTGTATTCACACTCACTAAATATATTTAGCTCAACAACACTAGCTTCTACTGAAGAGAAAAAAATTCCAATGACAAACATATTTTTAATAATCTGAACTGGATCAGAATGACAGTTGAAATTCATTAGCATTATATTTTGCAATCCTTAAGACCCCATGCCACCTACTCCTTTTTATAATCTAAGCTTTAGTATACCACAGCAGCTATAACTGACCAAACCCTGGTTTTACGACAGCACTAGAGAGTTAGGAGAGTGCTAAAGACTGGTCTTGGTCTCTTGCTTCCTACTGGAAGAGGGGTTGGGTGTTTCACAGAAGCTTAGTACGCTACGTGCAGTATACAAGAAAATTTGACTGAACAATTGTAAACGGGTTAGCAAATTTAACCACATTTTCACTCTCCTCGCACACCACATTACCTGTAGGTTCCTTGGGACACACATCAGGCAGTGACTGCACAGGTCGAAAGCGTTTTGTGGCATCCATTTCCTTTTTAAAGAAAGCATCGCTGCTGTTTGACTGAGGCACTGGTGAAGAACTGTGGCTTGATGCCATTGCATAAAATCACCACTTGATAAAAGCTAAATAAGAGACCATAAATATCAAGGCTTTAGCAAAGTTTGGTTACAAATTGTATCAAAACAAGGACACTCCATCAGCTACACAATATTCTTTCAACTGCAACACTTTAACTAACACATTTCAACAGCAACAGGGGAAAGTTTATTTTAAACACAAAAATAAAAGGCAGAATGTGACTTTGCAGTCTGTTTCCTCCCACACCTCTAGGTTTGCAGGATAGCTCATTCTTGCCCACAGCACTGACAAAGTCGTACCTTTTGAAAAAAGTATTTCAGGCACTTCTTCCTTTCTATTGCTGTAACTATTACAGCCATAGCGCACACATTCACGGTAGATCTTCCTCACAGGTACCAGGACAAATGCAGAGCCTTCCACCCCCTCTGCCCTTTTACTTACTACCCTCAGTGACTGCAGGGAGCAGATTACTTTTTGCATCTGGTCCTCACAGTGATTCTACTGTCCCAAGGGCTCTACAACAGCCCAGACAGGGCAAGGAAAGAGAGACAAACGACCTCAGCCTTCAAAGAACTGCTTCGTAGACCAGCAACGAGTGGCAGTAAGACAACCCTCAGAAAAACTACTCCATCTGCATGATGTCTTCTGCAAAGGCACGCCACACTCAGTGAGGTTTAACCACGGTGTGTAATGCGCTGCAGTGAAAAAGGCAGTGGGTGGAAGTGAGATATCCTGTGCCCTCACTCTGTTGCGCTGCCTCAGTGCTAGGACCCCAGCAAATGGGAGTGCACTGTTTTTTCCAAAGGAGGAGGTCTGCAATCTCCACTGCAGATCTACAATCCACTTGATTCAGACAAGCCCAGCAACAGCTACCCACAGATACAATAGATCATTAATGATTTACAGTAATCGAAAAACAGATTTCAGACAAACCAAAACCTGAAGAATACGAGCATACCAGAAAAGCACATACTATGCATAGAATGGACATCTTTTCCCACTTGAATCAGGAAAACTGACAATTCGACTTTTCACAGCTGCCTAGTAAAGTAAACTATAGTTTATTACAGCATAAAAAGTATTTGCAGGGAGAAGACAATTAAAGCATAGGTCAAAAAGCTCTGGAGTAAGGAAAGTCCCCGTAATTTTGAGTTGAATTTTAAGCTCCCAATTTGAAAATAAACAGCCTTAAAAAATTTACATCAGGGCTGAACAACATAAGGAGTTCTTTCCATCTGTAAACAAAGCTGCATTTCCATCAAAGTATCGGTTGAGTCAGTAGTAAACTGCAGAACTATTAGAGGTTTGAGAGTTTATTAAAACATCCCCATAATGTGCAGCTCAAGGAGTGCCCGTTCAAAGGGACTAATTTGGATCCTCGCCTTTAAGGAGAAATAAACACATCTAGTAAGATCTTAGCATTTAGCTACCAACCCTTAAAGAACACCTAAATTACTTACTACCCTGTGAAGGAGCACAAAAAGATAAAAGGCCTATTTGATCTTCAATCACTGAAGCAGGCACCAAGGGATGACTGTACGTCACTGTGTCAACTTCTAACAGCATCACACATATCACAGCAAATCTCATTTGAAAAAGAAAAAAAAAGTTCCACTTTCTAAACAAAGTTGGGAGTGTCTCACAAAACAGTTCTAAAGATGAGTTAAGATACGTACAGCTATAATAATATGTACAGCACACCAACAAACAGGCCCACGATGACTAACAGACCTGTATTTTGGCCAAATCTCTGCCCATTGGGTACCATTCCCGATGTTCACTTGCCTCTCATCGCTTTTACAGCAACACAAGGAGGATAATGTGCTTCCATTGTAATTTTTAAAAGGGGTGAAAACAGACCAGCAGAATCCTTTCTAAAAGTGCTGCGCAAGGACTGAAAATCTATCTCCCAGGTTTTCTTGGCAAGGCATTCCTTTCTTTCATATACTAGAAAAACTTATTAGTCAAGATAGAGAAGGGAAGCACTAATGGAAGTAACCTGAGAGGGAAAAAAACCTTTCCAGACATCCTCCTTAAATATCATCAAGCATCAGTCTCTCTCCCCAAAAAGCTCCAAAGAAAACTTTTTCTCTGTTACTTCCATTGCATGTTCATATTCTTATGTTCTTTCCTTGAGACTTCCAAAGCAACTTCTTTCTTCATGAAGCTTTTCCCTAATGTTTTGGGGTGGTTTTGTGAAAAATCTAGTTTATGATAATGACAAAACACTATCATTTTAGCATTCTCAAAGAACACATGCAGTGCTAAGTTATAACAATCAAGTTTCCTAAAGGCATACGGTAAATTTATCTGCACTTGGAACTGCTTCAAAGTTTTGTATTTGCAGTTTTTCTTCCTGAAAAAGCCTCTGTAATATGAGACACAGTCTGCTCTAGCCAGATGCATCAGCAACTAAGGCAATTTGTAGAAAGCACTGAAAACTTGCACTCTTGCTAGCAAGTCTCTCATTAAGCCTCCCTCCTTTCCCCGTAATGAAGTACTGCTTAAAAGTATATTCCAAGATGTGAATTGTCTCAACTACATAAATCTCAGTGGAGAAAATGCTAACTGCATTATGCCAGTCCAACATTTAAAATAAATTTAACAGACAATTTAACACTGAAGACTAGCTCAATACCTCAGTTTTTCAAAAACAAACTATACCTACTCTTGCACGTGTATTTTTATTACTTATCACCATAAAATAGTCACACTGCCTTTGTACACTGACAAATCTTAAAATAGAATTAAAAGAGTACAATAAAATATCAATGCAAGCAGTAACCTTCATACTATTGAGTGGATTTCAACAAGATATAAGGATTCACAGGCAGAGGCCTTCTTAAGTGGCATGCAATATGATGCTATACTAAATTATTCATAGTTAACAGCTATTCTAGTAGCCTCATAAGTCAGGATATTATGGATAATTAACCTCAATGAACAGCCACATTTGCACAGGAATAAACCCATCTGTACTGCCCCAAACCAGGCATTCCTCAAACTGCAGTCCTTAAATTAGTCAAGTATAGCTTCAGAGAGAGAGAGAAAACTGGACAGTATCACCTGAATTAAATTCAAATTAAAAAGGAATATGTGACAAGTCTACATGTAGACAAAAATCCTGCCCTACACCTGAGCCCTTCTGTGTACACTAACCTTGCACACAACTGAAAAACGGTTTCAATCGTTCACTGACAGAACAGCCATTCTCCGTGCTGCACTACTAAACATTTTATAGACAAATGAACCTATAACCAGCCTTCTGAATCAGCACTTTTAAAAACGCAACAATACATAAATTTGCTAGTTTAAACATACTAAAGAAATGAAACTCAACATTAACACAGAACAAAACTGCTGCAGAATATTTTAACTCATTCAACTTTAAACACAAGTGAAACGCAGGTAAATGTAGTTAACTGCACAAGCTGTGCAGAATGAATTATGAAATGGTGAGTCCCCCAAGCCTCCTACTTAGAAGAGCATATGTGCAGCAATAAGAATATGCAACTATGTAACTTAATGACATCAATATTTAAATTATACACAATTAAAACTGGGTTAGATTAACTCTGTTCTCTCCAGTAATCACCATAATTTACTCACATTTTGTCTAGCAGTGTGTATTAAACTAACAAAATAAAAAAAACTCTAGGGCTTAGATACAAGAGTAATGATGGAAACTCTTAGAATTACAGCTATATTTGCAACACGCCTTCAATATAGTAACTCTATCTTGTACAGACTGCATTAATTTCCTTAGTTCAAAAAAAAGACATTAAATTACACTGTCACTGTAATGACTTAATACCACTGAAGTTAAACATTAAAAAAAAATAAATCAACCATCGCAACAACGAAAATAGCTTTGAGGATTTGAATTTACAGGTTTCTTACAGTCTGAACACATGATGACCAATATTTCATATTCAACAATCTTACAGCTTCCTCTTAAAAAATCTTGTTCAATATCACGCTCAGCAGCTACGACATGACACAGCTGTACAACATCCAGCATGGAATAAAATAACTGACAACAACTGTAATAACCACATGCTTGGATACTGTACAGTCAGCAAAGCAGAAGATCTGCGCAGTTAGCAATGTATTAATCACATGAATTTTAAGAAGTTATTTCTGTGATGACTATGCTATGACTCTGAGTTTCACACCCGCGGTTTCAGCAGTTAGAAGAGCAACACACAAACAACAAAGCGTATTACTCAGAAGTAATTGCCCAGGATGGTTACAACTCTTGAGCACGTGCTTGTTTTCGTAAGTATTAAGACTTGCACAAAGTTCTTCAGCAACTGCCCTTCCATATTCTGAGCATCACTCGTACACTTTGTTTTTCAGACGCCAAGTCTTTGCTATCGAAACATACAGTGTTATCTCCATATAAACAAGGTATTAGAGAAGGTGCAAATTAATCCTCACCTCTTCATGGATATTTACTTCATATTTCCTCATTTTTGGGCAGTTTTCTATTAGCATTATCAACCAATTTTCTATTTCCTACTTAAGGTAACACCTTTACATGAGTTAATAATTTTTACTGGGAATTTTCATGTGTGCACACTTCGATTTGTAAAAGTGTAATTTGTATTAACAATATAAACTAGAACTTATGAAGCCAGGACAATCCCTGCAAGGTGCCTGAAGTAAGTCTCAATTTATGCACTAAAGAAACCTGTATTTTATCTATGCTTTCCCTCTCAAATGAAAATAAATCTACAAGCTACTAGTAGTACCTTCTACTTAAATTGGTAGTTTTGATAAGTTAGCTAGTACTAAAAGGGGCACCCAGTAACATGTAGCTCATTAGCTCCAGCCCTTTATACAATTCATAGAACCTGCTGTCCAACTCAATTTTTGCCTTCAAAAACGGTGACATCTGAGAAGAGTCACTAAGCACCCAGGTAAAAGAGCCCAGGACTTCCACTGACCACACAACACTGAGCAAGTTCTCTTTTAAGTATTCCACATTGTCCACGATAAGCGACACTTGGACACCACGAGGTACTTTCCAAGAGATGCACTT